AAAAGAACATTGTCAGTCAAGTTAAACGCTTTTTTTCATCGATATGACCGAAACATTTGAAAAGGGTCGATTGTCCATCAAATTTTTATGCAGTTTGAATTTAGGAAGTAAACAAAATCATGCCAATACCAAGCAAAACGAAAAAACAACAACAACAAAAAAACACCTCGTTTAGCCATGTCGCAAATGAAGTGAGTTGAGCTCGAAACTGCCTAAAAGGGAACTCATTGTTTGACGCAACGAGAGGGTCGATATCTTTACAGACATAAAACTATAGAAAAACGGTTTTAATATAAATTGTAAATTGTTGAAAGTATATAACGCAACTTACCGAGCTTTAGTTGCTTTGTTGCTCTTTAGCTGCTTTGTTGCTCCTGCTGATTAACAACACTTTATCTCATCTCATAGGCTTCTTAATTCCTTTAGCAAGGAATCGTGTTTGTTCCGACTGATGACCGTTCAACAATAGTTCTTAATCCCTGCGCCACGGAATCACAATGAGTCACGGTCAGGAACATAATTTATTATCACCTTAGGATGGGAAGGGTGGGTAATCACTTCTATCAGCCGCTTGCTGGATGCGGCAAAAGCGTGTGGGTTTTGGGCTGCTCACTGTTGTAGAAGGGTCTGTAAACTGAAACTGTACTTCTTTAGATATTTTTTAAAAGTATTTACTCTTCAAACAAAAACTGAGGCAGAAAATAGAACACAAAAAAGTTAATATTGCTGAAAGCGGTCTCTTGTATTCAGCCAAAATCAGTTCATTCATCATCACTCATCAGTATGCAATAGATGAACTGGCTTGAAGAGTTAAAAAAAATCGCATCTTTTAATTTGAAATAGACTAAGGATTTTTAGAACCGAGCACTCTTTCAATACAAATCACGTACGAGGCGTTACACCCCTTCCCCACCCCTCCCCTCTCCTTCAACTGGGTTTTCTAATGTACCGTGTATGCCACTCGCAATCCCAGCATCACCACATGAAATAGGATTTGTCCGAGTCACTAGAGGGATTAATTAATTACGCTTGTTCTTATCAGTTTCCGTAGAAGTCTTTCTTTTGTTACTAATTTGAGCAAAACTAATCAAAAGCATATTGACACTTCGTTATTTTTTCGGTTAGTCTTGAATTATGCCACTCCGACGATCTTTTGTTGCGAACGAGCCATAAAACTAGCTGAGTTCGGCCAGGATATTTTGTTTATTGATGTTTGATAAATTGGCTTTTACTCAGTACTTTATTCTTTTCAGTTATAAACTAGATTTTCGTTTATTAGCTTGGTCGCTCGCTCCTTGACTGATGACATTTCAGATGCCCAGTCACATTACGTCAACATGGAGTCAATTATTTCTAGTAAAGAAAATTAAATTAATGACAACTGCCTATTTATTGTTAATGAAAGATCAAATAATGCAGCAAGTTGGTAAACTAAGTTCACAAATAATTGTTAAGAGAATAAACGCGTCATTGATTAGTTGAACTAAATACAGTGATGCAAGAGACCGCAAACGAAAATACTGCCGGTGTAGGTAGGACTGTAATCAGCCTCGCTTCATTGCTATGTTTCTATTTTTGGCATTTCCATCCTGTGCGTTTGGTGGACGATCGGTCAGCCAGCCGGTTCCTTCATTTCGTGCTGCATGCTACACCGTGCTGACGAGACCCAACCAGGTCGAAACAGCTGTCCACGGTTGCAATTCTTGGCTTTCCCCAGTTGGACTCTATCATGTCGTTGTCCCGTTAAGCGTTCCACACAGTAATCAACCTTTCTTCATTGTTATATCAGTCGAACCGATGTCGTCTGGAGACAACCTAGTTCCCAGGAATGGGAGGGGGCGGGGCGGGAACGAGGTTGCTCTAGGAAGGAGCAGTACCTTTGCTTCTCGGACTGATCTCTTCAGTAGCCAACTGGGATAGGGGAAAAAAGTAATTGAAACAAATCTGTGTATTTTGTAGTAAGTTCTTAGTCATTTACCGTGTTGATTTTACAAGCGTCAAAAACAGGATTGTTGCATTCTGGAGCTGGTTGTCGCTTTTCAATTACACTGAGCTACCATTTCTCCCTTCAAGAATTTCACTCCTGGTCTATTTCTAGTTATCGGCTCTTTAAAGAAATCCATGGGGAGATCGCCCTGATTGGAAGACTCTCTAAAGCAAGGAGTTACATCGACTGTAAACTCCTGTCTAATGAGGTCATGTATCCACACGCTTTCCATCGCTATTGTGGCGAGATCTTCCTCCGCGTTGGCAACCATGTCTTCAGACCCAAAAGTCACCAAACCTACCCTTGTTGGACAAGGCATAGTATGGCGCCCTTCGGTTCCAAGAAGCTGATGACAATTTATAACGTACATTGAATCTCCCCTTACTATATTCCTAAAGCAATTGTTCCGAGTGCATTTAACTCATTGCCGAAAAGACCATCACAGACCGTGCTGCGCTCGGCTTCGGCCTTTCTAAGGTAGATAACGCAATCTAGGCGACGATAAAAAGATTACATATGACGATCAAGGCCACCGGGATATGCAGGCTTTTGCTGTTTAAAAAAAATATTATTCTTGTAGTTAAGTCACTAATGGGGTGTTCTTATCTTTACCGGCAATCAATCATATAAGAGCATCGTCTGCGGGAGGTGGTTGCGATTCCCTCTCATCAGTGCATTTAATTGTCGTTAATTATTTGACGACCGCTGATAATCTCTTGCGCGACAAGTTCCGGCGGCGTTTGATTTCTAACTAGTGTCACTCTTCCCTCAGTCTTCAGTGCAAAATGCCTCTAGACCCACTTTGGAAATCCCATGAAATGTACCAAAGGTCGTTTCAGGCATTTATCGACAACTCAACGGTCAGACGACCAGCTATGCTTAACTTTACGCAGGACGGGATAAGGCAGGCCATGCTGAAAATTATCGACAAGGTTGACATCGACAAACCACTCAAAGTGTTAGGCATTGGAAGTGGAAGCGGCGAGATTGATCTCCTTATTCTTCAAACTATGGTGGAGCTCATAGTATCACAAAAGAAGAAACCACCTACTATACATAACGTGATCGTTGAGCCGAGCTCGGTTCTCTTAGATCAATTCAAAATGAAGGCTTCTTCCCTGCCGTTATGTCCTTTTACACGAACCAAGAGGTCGCTGCCATCGCTGAGAAAAACGGCTGGAAGTATTTTATACCTGTGAAAGTGCAATTTCAAATTAATGTCACCTCTTGCCTCCGACAGCCAACGTCAGAGGCTGACCCGCTTATCGATTTTCTGACCCAGCAACAAAATTTCCGCATGAATGCCGAGCAAGAACTGTTTCACAGTTGGATAGAGATGATCGAATCGCTGGCTTTTGCGGACGACAGCGTGAAAAGTTTGTAAAAGTAGAAAATGCAGTGGTTATAATCCATAAATAAACAACACACTTCTTTCTTTCTATTGTTTATACTTCAGTAGTTTTAAACAATTGAAACCTTTAAATTTATTTTACGTCAGATTTTAACATTTTGGAAGGGGGCTCACTCGGGCAGACGTGAGCCAATATCAGGGGGATGAAGATGCCGGGGCACCGATTACTCTAATTTTTTCTCCTTGACAATCAAATTTCCAAGTGACATATGTAACTGTGCAGTTGAACGATATATTTGTGAAACCAACCATGCGCTAAAAAGTGTTATTCCCTTGGTCTTATTTTGCTTTGCACGTAAAAGGCAAGGGAATAACTCGGAAACCGCAAGGTTCATTTGTCCCCCTGGCTTGACTTTAAACACATATCTTTTCCCTAAGTTATTGTGATAATTTTCTTTGCAAATGTGTATTAAGTGTCCAGAGTAGATAAAGCATTGTTGTTGTTGTTGTTCCCTCGCGGTCACTTCGTTTTATGAATTTATTGTTTTGTTTGGTCTGTCAAAAAGCTGATATGTTTACTCTTTAATTTAGCGAGCAGGCTAATATATGTAGGGCAAAAGAGACTTTCCTGTGCATGTGATTGACACGCTCTGTACAAAGTTGTCAATAAACTTGCTTTATGGACAATGATTTGACAATCCAGTTATGTTTTTTTTTTTAATTGAGGTTCTAATCAGTATGTATATAATTAAATTGAAATTTATACCATGCCATAGAAAATACAGCCAATCAGCATACAGGAAAACCGGTATAAACTAGACGGTATTACACTAAACCTTCCTATCGTGCGCCACGCGTATGTCGCATTGATTGTGTATTTTATTTGTGTACTGTATTTTCTGCATTTTCTACTGCATGGTAAAAAATGGTTTATACGCAACGCTCTCTACGATGGTATACCTTGGAAAATCCCACTCTAAAACAAGGCTCGTGTGCCAGTATACCGGGAAAATACAAGTGACTTGTGGGATATTCCTCAACACCAATGGATTACAAGATCATTATCATACATTGTCACGTTTAACTTATTTTAGCTGCTGACCAAAGTTTTTGCACTGTAGCTATATACTAGCAAAATCATCCAATAAAACATCTATTGACGGGTACTAATGTTAACTTTTCCAAATGACTATTTCAAGGTGAGAAATGTTAGTAAAGTCAATTCAACACAGTGTAAAGCCAGTTGCTAACCAAAGTTTTAAGCCCATAACTATAGCCTTTTATAATAAAATCATCCAATAAAACATACGATTAAGGGGTACTAATGTGTAGTAGTATAACTACTTAGCGGTGGGAAATCTACATAACATCGATTCATGATCAGACCATAATAAAATCGCGACTAAGTCTTACAATGCTCTACAAACCTGTAAACAATTGCAAGCGACATCGCCGACTTTGACATAAAAGAGATATATCTAGAGAATACATCAAAACACTTTAACTGTGTGTCCCTCTGCATGCATGGTGCAGTGTGAATTAACCGTGTTCCACTATGGAGTTTTATGCGAGAAATAGTGGTTTCTGGCCGCTGTTCTAACTACAGAAGCACAGTACAAACAAGAGCCTACATTTCAGTCTAGGAGAATTAGCTAGAATTGTCTACTTATTGATTATAACTACTGCATTTTCCCCTGCAACAAACTTTTCATCGTTGTCGTCCGTGAAAGCCAAGGATTCGGTCATCTCCATCCAACTGTTAAACAATTCTTGCTCGGCATTTGCTCGGAAATTTTGTTGATGACTTAGGAAATCGATAAGCGGATCGGACTCGGCTGACGTTTGCTTTAGTAGGCAGGCCGTCACATTGATCTGATATTTTTCCTTTAGCGGGACACAATAATTCCAGCTGTTTTTCTCCGCAATGGCAGCCAGCTCTTCATGCGTGTAGAAGGCCATAACTTCCGAGCCACAGCTCAATTTTCCTTTAAACTTCTTACTGACTTTAGCAAGGTATGAATTCTCGGTATGAACATAGCAAACCACGACTCCGTGTTCAGCTTTTAGCCATTGTTCGAAGCATGATCGCAGCGCAAGCTCCAGATCCGAGTAACGGATACTGTGGACAAAATGAATAAAATCGAAACTTTTCTTTTCGATGGAGGTTTCTTGGTTGAATTCACTGAACGTTTTCTGCTGCGATTCGAAGGAAACATTGGCTACGCTCTTTAATGATGACGGCAGCGAAGAAGCCTTCATTTTGAATTGATCTAAGAGAACCGAGCTCGGCTCAACGATCACGTTATGGATAGCAGGTCTTTTCTTCTTCTGTGATACGAGGATCTCCGCCATAGTTTGAAGAATGAGGAGATCATTCTCTCCGCTTCCACTCCCAATGCCCAACACTTTAAGTGGCTCGTCGATGTTCATCTTGTCAATAATTTTCAGCATGGCCTGCCTTATCCCGTCTTGTGTAAAGTTAAGGATAGCTGGTCCTCTGGCCGTTGAGTTGTCGATTAATGCCTGAAACGACCTCTGGTACATTTCATGGGATTCCCAGAGTGGTTGTAGAGGCATTGCAATAGAGACTGAACGATAGACTTTCGCGTCGATTCCAACAATCTAAAGCCAGCCAGAAATGTGACGGTTAGCGTTCGTTGTGCAGGCTCATAAAATTATGTTTGAAAACTTCCGTTCTCACATATTCTGCCTTTGCAAATGGAATACAACACGTCGTGGAGCTAGGCGTTTGACCTCGAGCAAACTTAACTTACATTGTGAACGCCCATTTATGCATACGAAAGTGTTTTACTTATAATAATATACATGAAAAAATTACTCGATTCTGATTGGCTGAAATAAAGGAATAAAAATGGCTTCGAAGGGGATCTTCCGGCATTTCCTCCACGCGAATGTTTTCATGTTTATAAAGCGGCTCGTACAATTTCAGCTTTTTGATAAACTCACTCGTGCAAATTAATTCCAAATTGAACTCGAAACCGTATGATTACCTGTGCAAATATTACTTGCAAAAAATATCGGATGTTAAAATTCCGAACGGTTTATTTCCGGGATGTCGTTTAGTCTCATTCTGGATAAATTTCGAACAAACAAGTCGGACACTTTCCTGAAACATAGTTCACGCCTACGAATTAATGTGATCATGAAACAGTATCTGTGATAGTTTTAATCTACTGCACCTCGACATTTTAGAATACATCGAAGAGAAAATTACACAAATTCTATCAAGCCATTACTTATCTCAAACAGTATCTCAACTGTAGTTCGCTCCATTAAAAAAACTAAGAGCTTCGAAGTTACTTAAGAATTTTATACTGTGCTGTAAATATTTCGGACCATTAAAAATTTCAGACGGTTTTATTCTCGGATGCTTTTTTGTCCGAAATTCAAATCGTCCGAAATTTATTTTGCAAGTAATGTACGTTCAATGGTCTGGTGACCTTGAGCAGTCTGACTGAATTTTGTGATCGTCTAGGTGATCTTTTCATCTTTAGTTTAATATTGATAATGGAACTGATATGTTTTTCTTGTGTCCATCATGGGACATCGTGGCTCGTTTTGATATTTACATATATTTGTAAATATGCCATAAGATCTAGATGGTTCTTCACTGATTGCTACAAAATGCATTACTTACTTGATAAGTTCAGGACGTCTATATGTCGATGTGGGCGCTGTCTCTTGTTTACTGTGTCACAGAACAGCTAAAGCTAAAATCGTGATCTTATTGCGAGTTGAATATGATCTAACATAGATTTCTAACCTGTAAATGGTTATTTGGAAAATTAGTATACTTTACTTTTACTGGATGATTTTACTACTTTACATTAACTATAATGGAAATACTTTGGTTAGCAACTATAAAATAACCTGACAATATAATGATCTTGTAATCTAGCTATCATGACGGGACGCACGGAACTTCTACTGGAAGTACCGCAGAGAAATGGTAGGAAATTTTCCTAGCAGTCCTTATATACTCTCA